TTGGTAAAGTATGTGAAGTACGGTGATGGCAGAGACGGTGCGGCATCATTTACTGCGTTCTATTCTATGAGGGAAAGACTTCTGCATGAACACCAATCCTCAGAATCTGGTCAGTGTAATTCCTTTTTCAGAAGATTCTGTTTTAATCTTTACGTAAGTAATACTAGCAAGTGTTTTATTCTATACATAGACAATATAAGTGCATCAAAACTTGGCAAATGTATCATAGTATTTGTTTTTTGCCGCCTACATACTTTAGTATATTCCAGCCCTAGTTTCATACTCACAATTTTATGTTTTTACTTTCAACCAGAGGAGCTATGCGAGAAAAACTTCAGGTACTACAGGAGTAACTGTTTTCGCGTGATAACGGACAATGAGACCGTCTCCTGGGACACTGCCCAACACAGGTATTATTACATTCCGTGATCTGATACTTAAACTGTCTGCTTCTGACGTCATTTGCGAACTTCAACGCTTTCGTGCTGTTCCCTCAGCTATCAATCAGACTTACAGACTTACAGTCTGAGAAGCTTTTATGCGCTCCTAACTTAAGCCCCTGTCACACATAGCCGGATATTCAAATCCAAGCAGATTCAGTGGGTTATAATTACCAATAGATACAGGCGACGGGAGTCTCAGATATGATTGACTGGTGGTTGTCTGGTTTTAGGAAGTAGCTAGGGCCTGGTTGGCAGTCATATTTGACTCAAATGTAACTCAAATTCGATTCGTAAAGAAAAGTAGGCGTGGCCTAATTCTGGTCAGACTGATTCCAAAAGTCAGCCAACCTTGGTCGACTGGTGTTCAGGGGAAGGTTCTGAATGTGCGACAGGGGCTTATAAGATGGGAACTTTGAAGGTGCCTCATTTTACGTAATCAAGACTTAGACTTAGTTCCTCGCGTCCAAAATTGGGCAGCCAGATTCCCCCACTTGGTTCGATCTTGGGCCAGGTTCTCAGTAGCAACCTTCTATTTTCCAGATCTTTTTTACCCAACTGTGTAATCAAGAGAGCTGTTTTTTTAATTTTTTCCCAGATGCACGGAATTTGGTTCTGACCTTGCCAGCATCTCTAACCCACATGAGATGGAGTACGTAGAACGGCTACTGAGGGAGGAGAAGACCGTAAAGTCTGACGGCGCAATCACGGCCTTTATAGGTCTCATGACGACCGGCCAGGATGTGAGATATGCATGGGTGGACGGCAGTCAAGTACTGTAAGTGCCACTAAAGGCATCCAGTGCAGTTTTTAGGGCTTGGAAACCCGATTTTTCAAAGCCAGTATTCTAGTCATCCCAGTGTATATTGACCCTCGTGGAGCAAAAATTCCCGAAATTCTGACGAAAAATTGTTACTGGAAGGGCCCTGGGCTGTTTTGTAGGGTACCGACCAGAAAATAAAGGAATCATCTTGGAGCTTGTTTTCTGCAGTTTTAAATGCCCAAAGTATAGAAATGCTGATTTAATTGTGCTAACGTAAAGCAGTATGTGTCAATATCACAAAGATTGCCTTATTCAGAATATTTACAGTTTTTCTGCCCTGAAATCGCATTGGATGCCTTTAACCATGTTACAGTAGTAAGATGTTAACACAGCATGATACAGCCGGGAGGACATCGTCGGCTTTATCACCCCACTAATGGTTGTAACATTCTGATGTGGTAGCAGTACCCCAGTAAACATTTATAATAGAACGAATTCCTGCCGTTTTCTATGTTTGAACTAATATATTGCCTTATCATTTTTTGGGATCTGTTTGAGATTATTTGAGATTATCTACTCCAAGTGAGCTCGACGCAGTGATTATTTGAGATCTAGCTACCATCTAACTTTCATTATAAAAGGCATTAGAGAAACTATTGAAGAAAACATCGCCAACATTGATTGGTCTTGCTATGTGCTCACACGATTATCAAGTTTTTACAAACTGAATATTTCCTTACTTTATCATGACAATTCTTGATAAATCATGGTTATCATCAGATTTACCTATTGGAGAGGTAGGACTCCATTGCCAGCCGGCCAGAACACAGAGAGCTGCGCTCTGATGCTGACAAGCAGAACGGAGACGAAGTGGTTCACCGTGCCCTGTAACTATCCTGAAGCTACCAGGACTTACATCTGCAAGGCCAAAGCCAGAGGTAGTTTGTCACTATATTCTAGGTGATAAAATGTGTGATCTTTTACCCAGAAGTATCGTAAACTGCCGATATTGTCGCCTACAGTGGAAACAATATATCCACACTACACGGATAGTGGTATTTAACGATGATGGTAAATACCAGGTGCTAGGTAAGGTTTTAAACATTCGGGACGGGAGTTTCAGCCATGGTTAATTGGCTGGTGTTCTGGAGTAGGTCATCCGCGTTGGGAGCGTGTTTGGAGGCAAACTTTTAACACAAATTTAACTTAAATTCGATTCGATTCTTAAATAAAGATAGACGTTTGCCAAAAGACCCCACATAACAATCTATGATCATCTATTATCACAATCAGGTTGCACCAGGGGTTGGACTATGGCGGGAAAATCTTGTCTCCGCGCCTACCCAATCCCAGATTGGAGTACAAACCCAGCCCGGGACAGCGTCCGTCTGTGCCTGAGAGAAGACGCATCTGTGGCGACGGTCAACTCGTCTGCTGATGTTCTCCATGTACAGGATTACCTGCGGAACATGTGGCCGGTGTATCCGCGGGAACGTGTTTACATGAATATCAAATATGACGACACAAACACCTGTGATGTGTTAGAGCGGCGGTATGACATGGACGGTGAAGGTTGGATCGTTCCCAAAACTGAATGTCAGTTTCGAAGACCAAACCTGGTTCTCTGCTCCATGGATGTAGATGGTGAGCAATTATGATAGGCACAAAGGATAACTCTGATTTCTTTGCTTTTTATGTTGAAGTACGTGACGATAAGGTATTGGCTTGGACATATATCATAATGTAATGACAGTGTATCATCAATAGTATGGATTCATGAGAATATGGAACGTAGTTTATTCGTAGTATATTTACGCCACACTATCAAAGTCTCACTACGTAGCGATTTAAATATCAAAATACATTGTGTGACAAGGGCTATGACTTCTAGACCTTGGCATTACAATATTTTAACCCAACTTAAATTTACATTACTACATTTCCAGCCTCAACCTGCCCATCTTTATGTAAGTGCACGAATGGAGTCGTCTCCTGTTTGAGCAAGGGCCTGACCAGTATTCCACCAAAGATCCCGAGAACAAGTCGTGAACTGTAAGTAACAAGAAATAAGACTTGCATTTTCTAAGGAGCATGATAAATGTAAGACAAGCCATAAAACATAGGTCAAGATTACAAACTCAAACTGTAGTAATTTTACTTTCAGATATTTTACAGGCAACAGACTCAACCTAACCAAAGCGTCACTGCGAACTTGGGGTCTGCTGACTACACTGTAAGTTGTCTGTGTTACCATAGATCAATAAACTTCCCATATATCGCCCATCTGCTAACCAACAACAGCTCATTGGCCATCGGCAATAGATATTACATGTAGTTCTTGACCAATTGATGCTTACATTAGTCATTACATGCGACCTAACATACTTTCACAATGCAGCTTTGGCAGTGCTATGATTGTCCCCATCCACCCACTATTACCGTATAATTTCCAGCCTTGTTTAACCCTATCTAGACCGGGGGGGGGGGCTAAAAGTGCCCGCGGCAACTTTGATGTCACATAGCGTCTAAACGGCTAAAGCTAGAACCGCCAAACTTGGTGACTTTTCCTAAAATATTGTTGGCAACAAAACTGTATCAGTGGAATAAGATTATGATTTTTCTTGTTGCCATGGCAACGGGTTTCTGACAGGCATTTTTTGCCAAATATAATAATTTCCATTTAAACAACAGAATTTTATGGGTTTTATGTCTAGTTACACATTGTTTCTAATATTAATAACATCACATATAATTATATGTAAATGTCATCATTGAAAATGCATAATTTATGCTAATTTGATGACGTCATTGGCCAAAATCCAAGATGGCGGACCATATCATTAGATCAGGTAAATACAGCTTATTTTCCTTAAAATTTTATCAATACTCCCATTTCTTTTTACAAAAAAGGTTCATATGAACGTCTTTAGTCTGTTTACAATGTATTTTAGGCTTTATTCTGAAAAAAACTATTTTTCAAAATTCAAGATTGATGATCCAAGATGGCGGATAGGTAATATATGCATGACGTCATTTTATGACGTCACCGGTGTTGCTATGGGTAACATAAGACTTAGTACATCCTAATATTCTGTCATAAACACTTTTGGTAAAGTTATGTCGTATACTGTTTAGTTTTCAGGGAATAACCTATCTAGACGGTTTTGGCCAATAAAATCACATTAATGACGTCATAATGACGTCATATTACGTCACAACAACATAAAAATTGTACATATGATAAGTTTTTACTAGTACACCATCCTCTGAAAATTTGGTGGTCCTACGATATACCGTTCGCGAGTTCTGAGGGGGGGGCCGAATGACGCCCCCCCCCCCCGGTCCAAATCTTGCTCAAAAAAGGCCGGTCTAGATAGGGTTAACACTACCATAAACCTAACAGTGAAACAGCCATTATTCAAGCATTGGTGGAATCTATAAGCTGCAGGGTTCTAATGTACTGTGGACTTTGACAGACAGATCAACACCTTGGACATATAGCTTTGAGTGACAAACTTATATTGTCTTGTTCCAGAGACATCAGTGATAATTCCCTTACCGACATACCGACTGGTGCTTTCTCTAGTCTCTTCAGGCTGAGAAATCTGTAAGTACATCAAAGTGCCCATCGTAATTATGGCTTTTCTACATAGCGTATAGAATTGTAGATAACGTCTCCGCCTAACCCTTCCATGCCTTGTACACATTAACATAAGGTAACGAAGCTTCATACATGTTGACTTGCAACCTGGTACCAGTCTAAACTATCAAAGTGTTGTTATTGTCATCTTCCTCAGGAACATGAGTTTGAACCTAATTTCGAAGCTGAAGGCTGGAACTTTCGACGGGTTGGACAACCTGGAAGTGCTGTAAGTTTTGTGGGTTTCACTTCATAGCATTTTGTATCTGCCACATTTCCATTAGTGTGGGCTTTGGTTATACCATTATATAAAAGACAACAGAACACACGAAACTAAAGGAATGTTCCCTGTCTATGAATTTTGTTGGGCAATCTGTCAGTGGTCAGTGTTCGCAGCCCCTAGTAGTGGGAGGAGGGTGTAACACTCATCATATCCTCACAAGATACAAATTAGTAATGTAGTATATTTACAGTCGTCTACAGGTGATTGTAATGATACCACCAACGTTACTGACAGGGCCGTTCTTTATTTCTCCAGTGACTTGACAGGAAACAATGTCCATGACGTAGACGTAAATGTCTTCGTGAGACTTCTCAACCTGCGAGATCTGTAAGCATTTTGAGTAATACATACGAGCGTGGATCTATTTAGTATGAAGAAACATGGCGGTAACGCATAACGCGCAGAGTCACTGTGTTGAATGTACTGTAAGATAAGTGTGATGAATATCTGCAACATGAGAGATTGGAGTAGCGGTAATCTGTATGTAGCGAAGCATTTGCCAAAATCGATACCATTCCGGTAAATGTGTACCACGTCTCGTTAGTGGATTCAGTGACAGTAATTTTGCGGATCGCGTAGTTTCATGGCCTTTTCCGTAATTAGAACTTGCCAAAGTGCCCGGAAAAGACCACCTGGACGGAACACGGCTGACTGCTTCTTCTCCTCTTTTGCAGGAAAACTAATCAGTACAAATTGTGCTGTTTGGCGCCCCTGACGAATGTGTGCTTTCCCGGGCACGACCATATATCCTCGTGTGAATATCTGATCAGTAGCAGGAGACTGGAAGTTACCGTCTGGGTGCTAGCAGTAGTGTCCATTATAGGCAACGCGGTTATCCTGATTCACTATGTTATACAGAAACCGATTGTATCTTCAACAGTTTTCTGTTGTAACCTCGCAATGGCAGACAGTCTTTCGGGAATTTACTTAATCATCATTTCATCTGCGAACGCTTATTTCAAAGATAGGTATTTCCTTGAGGATCAAAGATGGCGCTCTCACATAGCATGTAGCATAGCAGGAGGGCTAATTGTGTTTAGCAAAATGGCTTCCCTTGCAATTCTCGTAGCCCTCGTTTCTCACATGTATGTGTTGTCTCGTCTGGTTCCCTCTCGGTGGAAGCATGCCTGTAGTGTGGTTTTAATGTCTTTATGTTGGATATTTGCACTCCTCTGCACTGTCTTCCCGATACGTTTTTCGCTCGATGAAACAAAAGGCGAGGCATCGTCCCCCGCCTGTTCAAACTTTGTTGACATCATCCGGAAACAGGGACAGTGGAGACACTGGTTTGTACTACTGGTCGCTCTACCAACTATTATGGTAGTAGCCTCGATAGCCTTATGGGGACTGTGTTGCTTTGCAGAGGGGCTTTATAGAACTAATCGAACGATGAATAACGTAAAGCACCCAGAGAGTCAGTGGACGATCAAGTTAATAATCGCTACAAATTCCATCAGCTGGCTGTTTGTGGCTTTCGTTGGGATGTTTTGCACCACCGAGGATGAAGTCTTCGTCGCGTTACTACCATGGGTGGTGATGTTCGCTGTTCCTCTTACTTCTGGGCTCGATCCACTGATTCAGCTGGTGACCATCGCGCCAAGTTGGTTCGCCAGGAGAAGGGTGTCTGGTAAGAAAGACGAGGAGGGAAACTCGTACACGTCTGTGGATCAGCTCAGGTGGCGTCTCCAGGGAGCGTCCACTGTTGCAGCTGGTCATGAGATGGATGGTAAGTATCAATCAATCAATCAATCAATAAATGAATCGAGCCTCATTTGCATCTTATGCCACAACTTAACAGTTAAGTCTCAATGACGGATGCGAAACAGACAAGAATGCGTCTTTTTGCCATTTATCAATTCAAAACATTGATATCTATATGTTCCGTTGCTTTATCTTTTTTTTAATTTTGAAACTTAGATTTATCTCCTTATCTCTTGCAGTCGTCGCTAAGAGAGAAACCTCCAAGCAGATTAAGCTGTATTTACAGTGCCTTGACCACGATGTCGAACCGAACCATGTAACAAAGATACTGCTGCCATTCAAGAAAGAGGTGAGAGATGGGTAAAAAGAAATTAATTAATGCAATTCTTGCCTCATCGTACTGATAGAATGCATTCTAAGACCTGGATCAGCTAAATGTTACGCAATTTTATTTTTCTGACAGGAATGGTTTTCTCTACACCTTTAGGGTACCGCTGTAGAGGCAACGATTACAACAGAAATGCAGGTATTGAGGAGAATCGGCCTCGCGGGGGGTCATCAGAACGTGATCAGCCAGTGTGTGGTAGCCGACAGAGACGTTTATAAATGGTAAATCTGTGTATCTTTTAAACTTTTTGGTTCTGTTGTATCTGTATAGCCAGGATAACTACTCCTTGGCGTATATACGTAAGACACAAGCTTCACAGGCACGCGGCGCGCGGTAGCTGAGTGTCTGTATATTACACTTCAAACAAACGACCTGTTACACCTAGACTTTACACTGCTAACTTAAAAACATTTTAGGTATCTGGTGATGATGCTCAAGATAAAGCTAGAGCTAGCCTGGCATGCCTTCTAATTAACCGGCGTTTATGAAGTTTGGAGAGTCAATAAGGAACTTGAATGTAATGATCCTCATTATATCACCTTCCTGCTCCAGGGTTCTCCACACTGATCGTCATCACTACAATCTGAGGGAGAAGCTGACTGACCTGACATGTGAAGATCTCCTGACCATCAACTTAGACGTGATAAAGGCCTTAAACTTTCTGCATAGAAACGACATCGTCCTAGGCAGAATGTCAATGGATACTCTTCTGGTCTTAAAGGTGAGTTCAAGATGTAGAATGATGCGTAATTCCTGTCTTACAAGATTCACGTGATGGAAAGGTGGAAATTGCATATTTGATAAGTTATGTTTCTCTTTTTTGATTGTGTGTATACTACGTGGTCCAGAATTGTGGACAACCAACTTGTCTTAATCAATTGTTTTCTATCTTCTGCAGGAGCCACAGCTGATGGCCATCCTTGCTGATTTCTCCAATGCCAAGATCGTCGAAAATCAAAAGAACTGCAGAAAAGCGTTTGAAGCTGATTTCCAGGAATGGAAGAAACTAAAATGTGTTATTGAACGTTGCGCAACCTGCCATGCTCTACCAGTTGAAAGTCAAGATCAAAAAGGTTTCAGATCTTCACAGCTTTGACGTCAGTAGGACAGGAGGTCGTTTTAAAGGCAGCCAATGCAATTTCAGGGTGGTATTGGGTGCCTTTATACTACGTGTCCCACAACAAATTTACAACGATATGCCAATGACTATAAACGTCTAGAAGAAGGTGATAACACCGTAGTCCTTATTTGAGAGGGCAAGCTTAGCACGTCTCTGAGCATACTTTTCAAGTCGTTAAAGATGTCAGTTTACGTTATCACTCATGCAGCATTGCCATTGCATAGATGAAGATATGCCACACGACTAATCAATGATTCACTCCTAAGTTGTCAGTATCAAGTGTGTGATTACTCGACTAAAGACATTCACAATCATTCGTGATAAACTACCGTATCCGTGAAACAGCACGGATAATGGATATGGTGCAACAATGTCATCAATGCTTCCATGTTATAGCATGCAGAAGAATGATGTAGTCCACGAAATGCTTGAGGACAAAACTGTTGCAGGGAGCTGCGTGGACTGTCCAGTTCATCAATCAATAAACGGATGGTTAATGAGTTATCTGATGGTGATTCACAGTGTTTCGGCTGAGTGGCTGTAGGGTACTCCACACTCGTGATTCTTCATCTCATCATTGTGACAATGATGCAAATACGGTAAATCTTGATGCCTGCAGTTCACCAACATGTCGCAAGATGTCAGGCTGTACGTACTAGTTACTGTATTTCTGATGTCATGGAAATTATGAACCCCCTATCTTCAAGAGAAATCGCTGCTCGGAAAAGAATATATCTAGTTGCTTCATTATCTTTGCCTAGATGTTTTTGGTGGCGTTTGTGTGGATGTTAGCTATAGGATGTTCTCCGAACTCCAGCCGACCAAGGTTGGGCTAAAGTTCGGGAGCATTCTGACCTGTTTGACTTACATATTATTTGATTACAAATAAACATGTACGTTTATCTCTGTGCTGCCCGCAAGGTATTTGCTAATACTGATACCAAGTGTTTAGTTAGCATTTAGCGTCAACACAGATGGGGTTTTCCCAGACCTCAGAAACACCTACCTGAAGCATTTGGGGACCTATAGATTAATTATAGATCAGTTAGTTAGTATCGAAGCAAAGGTTAAGGCCTCAACGTATTTTTTATGTATTTTTATCATACTTTCTTTTTTGTACTGGTATCTTTCTTCGCCGGCCAAATGCCTGGCCAATTTGTGGGGTCGTGTGGCGAAACGGTAGAGTGCTCGACTCGGAACCAAGAGATCTCGGGTTCGAGTCCTGACATGCCACCGATCTTGTGCCCTTGGGAAAGGCACTTCACACGACTTTCCTTACTTAACTCAAGTGTTGTACTTATCCTCTGCGTTGGTAGCGGCATAACATAAGTGGAAAAAAATTGAGTGTGTCGTCACCATGTCTAGTCATGAAATATTGGAATAAAATAAATGCCCGGCAAATTTGATACTGTATTTGCAGCAACCAAGCAAAAGGTATGCTCAGTTATTCGCCATTTTGTTGTTGATCCAGCCGAGGAAGTTGTAGACCCTGGTGTAGAGAGTGGGGGTGTAGTTGGCGCCACACGGGTTCTCTCCCCAGCTGACCACACCGGTCACCTCCCATCTGGACTGGTCAGCGGATGGACAGGCCAGAGGACCGCCGGAATCCCCCTGTAAAACCAACATGTAGTAACACACCTTAAACATTTGGCTTAAAAACATAAATTCTTAGTTCCTGAAATTCCCTAACAATTTCCTAAAAGTCCATAAAAATTTCCTAAAAATGCCCTAAAATGTCCTGAAATTTCCTTTAAAAATTCCTTTTAAGAATTACAAAAATTTCCTATCATTTCCAGAAAAAATTCTAGAATTAATAATATTTCCTTCGAACAATAAACTTAAACTTGGACTAAAATTGTTTGTATTTTTGAGGTCGAATTTGTAACGTAACTGTACTACTATGCCATTCTGTTTTTTTGCGCAGTTAAAACATAGTCACTGACTGGCATGGAAATGGCCTTGATGAAGTGACTTACCACACAGGAGTCTCCTCCCTGTGACAGAGAGTCATAACCGGCGCAGACCATGTTAGAGGAGTCATAGTAGCCCTGCCATGCAGCGCTGCAGTAGCTGTTGGTCTTAATCGGTACCCGGGCTTGCTTCAATGACGATGCCATCACCTCCGTACCTGATGGAAGGGAATTGTGAAGTAGACTTATGGATACACAAGAAAATTGTTACCCAAGCAAATGGATAGATTTTGACGTTTCAAGAAACATCCACTACTTCTCATGAGTGACTAACGGAATCTGTGGTTGAACAGGTATTTATTCCAAAGCTGTGGATTTATATAAAGTATATATATAGTAGCTATAGAGTGGATCCATTCCTTATTTTCTTAAGAGAGAGAGAGAGAAAGAGAGGAAAGAGAGCATAAAGGTGCTGCCTCCTTCCTTCTTCAAGGGCTTCTTCACACAAACGCACACACACAGACACGCACACACACATACACACACACACGCACACAGACACGCACACACATACACTCATACACACCCAACACACACACACACACACACACACACACACACACACACACACACACACACACACACACACTCACACTCACTCACTCTCACACACTACAAAGCAACACTACTCCACCTTGAGAATTGTATCCCACTGCGCCCCAGCCGGTGACGTAGCAGTAGGTGTTGTCAGGTGTCATGCTGGTGGGTAGGCAGATGGAGGTGACCTTCTGTGACATGGTGACGGGCCGGTCTAACTTCAGCAGGGCGATGTCGTTATACGGGTGCGGCGTGTGGCGGTACTGCTCGTGCTTGATGACCCTGGCCACGCTCCGCTCCTGTTCGGCACCCCCGTTCACCTGGTGAAGACCCAGCTTGATCTTCCAGTAGGAGGGAGACGAGTACCTGGGGACGTAAAGGTAAAGCCCATTCAGGACCTTTCTAATCTCCAAGCATTGAGTGGCGAAATGTTAACTGTCTGGCCAATGGATACAACCTGGCCAATTTGATCCTGTCTATGCAACCACCGAAAGATTTGCTTGGAGATTAGACCTTCCCCCGAACACCATCCAAGCAAGGTTGGCTGGACTTCGGGAGCAGTCTGACCAGATGTAGGCCATGCCACCTTTCGATACAAATAGAATCAAATTTGATCTCAAGTTGAGTCAAATCAACTGCCAACCACGCCCCGACTACTCCTGACTCTTACTCTGGGACAGACTGAAGCCAACCATATCCATTACAACTTGACCTAAGGGCCTAATGGAAACACAGACACACACACGGACACATCGACAGACGTGCCAAAAACAATACCTTCATTCTTCATGGAGGTAGATATTTCCTCTGAACATATCCAGTTGTTAGCACTTTCTCGTGTATACAATGCGCCGCTGATGTAGACGTGATTAGGGACTTTCTCTGGACAAGATTGAACCCAACCATATCCATTACAACCTATTAATCTAAGGGCCATGCGGAAACACAGACACACATACGAACACACCCACCAAATACCTCCATTTTCATTTTACATATCCCGTTCGCACTTACTCATGTACACAGTGTGCCGCTGTGAGGACCCATTGGTCTGAGATGAGTGACCCGCCGCAGAAGTGGATGCCGTTGGCCCTTACCAGGCGTAGACTGACCTGCCAGGGCCAGGAGTTGGCGGTAGCCTGCGCTCCCCCTAAGATCTTACCGCTGGAGGACGGGGAGATGGCCTGCTGTCCGCACTGGCCGGACGAGCCGGTTGTACCCGTACCGGTACCGGTGCCTGTTCCAGTGCCAGTGTCACCTTATAGGTAATACAACATGCAATGGTGTTACGTGTATCACAAAGGTCATGCAGTCCTTTTACGTTTTTATCACGGTCAGTGGTTATTGTACTAAATACCCTTGTTACACATTCACGGATAAGGCCTCCCGAACACTGGCTAGCCGAACGCCACGGAACTTGTTAGGAGTAGGTCTGAACGAATTCGGCAGGTGTTCGTCGACGTCGGCTTTTATTCTGCCGAATGTTTCACATTGTTTAAAATATTCTGGTGTTGGTCAGGAGGCTCGTCACGCTCGCATCAGTTTTGGAGTTCCCAGAGTATATATATATATATATATATATATATATATATATATATATATATATATATATATATATATATATATATATATATATATATATATATATATATATATATATATATATATATATAT